TGTAAATGATAAAACCAATTTAATGTAATTTGTAATGAGAAAGCAAGATCAAACCGCAAACGACAAACGTTCAAGACATGCCAACCAATATCGTACCAGTTACTTTTCTACTTTTCTAGTTAACCAGCATGAATGCGTTGCAGGGTATGCAGATTGTGATAAATGCCAAACTACATGAAATGCCTTTGGCCACAATTTCAATAACTGGAGTCTCTGTCAGCAGCACGATAGTCTAGAAGCAAAAAAAAAAATATGCTAGGAAAAAGGGTTGCTTCCGTTGTTCATGGAACAAGCCAAGACATTTTGGCTTTCTTTACATAACAATCATCATATGAAAATAGAAACACCTTGGGTATATGAAAGGATTTCAAAAAGAAATAATAAAGACTTTTGGAAACTCTTGGTTAAGCTAAAATTATATAGTTCAATTTGTCCGGCAGTAAGATCATATAAGTACATATATAAAATTGCACACAAACCACAACCTTGTTGGATATTTCACCTTTTATATAACCTGTCACAAGAAACCTTGATTTTATTTTAAATAACAAGACTCCATTCTCTTTGATAAAGTGAACTTGTTATCAAAAAGAGAAGTCACTAACAAAAGAGACTTAAGGAGAGTAGTGTGGCAGTGAAATATCCAAGTGCAGATATTCCTTTACCTGAAAATGAACCACGAGGATCAAATTCATCAAAGCCATCTACTTCCCCATTATTATCAGGAGCTGGTGGTAAAGCAGGAGCCGAGTGTGAAGCATCTGTTGTCTCGTGGCTTGGATTAACACTTGCAGGAGGAGAGGATGCTTTGGGAACAGCTGAGAGATCTCCATCCCTTTTGAAAATACGAAGTTACGACCACTTCAGAATAGTTGAAGCAGAAACTAGGTGGTTGATAAAAGTTTGTTACCTTTCACTAAGAGTGGGACTGCGTGCAGTACCAGCAATCTCTTCATAACTAGGAGGAGCGCCAAGGCTTTGATCAGAATATTTACGGTCCAAGTGCCTGCTGGCCATACTACAACAACAGCAAAAACAATTAAGCTTGTTTGCAATAAACTAAACCTGCCAGCAATAATTGGCAAAAAAGCCACAAATAAAAAAAATATTCCACTAAATTATGAATAGCATGAAAAAGGTTTTCCTATCATTACCTTCCATCTTGAGAATCGCCTTTGGCATTACTACCTCTACAATTGGCAAAGTTAAAATTTTAATTGATGTAGGTAATAGAAAATTAAACTAACTGAAAACATATCACGTGTACCAACATTGAGGAAAATAAATAAAGCAACTCCCTGACTAGAAAACACTAGAGAGACTACAATGACAATCCTAGAGTGAAGTCAAGCCAAAATGGCACAATTGTTCTTTTTTCATATTTTTATCACTTCGTATAAATCCCATTTAACGTTTATCACGTCATTATATAGCCTTTCGCCTTTACCATTGAAAACAACAGAAAAATTATATATCTTTGCAAGAAAATAATAAAATATTTCACTACAAAGTTGGATTTTACTTGAACGCGAGAAAACTTACAAACCTGGAAGAACTTTGTCTATCATCTTCATAAGTATGGTTCCCATTCCTATCAGTGCTTCTGGATTGTAAAACATTCTGATAATCACTGTTTTGACTTCTTCCACGGTGGTCATCATCCCTGTAGCCATCTTGACCATACCGCTCCTCGTTATCTCTACTATACCTGTCTCCATCAAGGCCATATGAATCACCATACCTACCATATCTGTCATCATTCCTGCTGCCCCATTCTCTTTCTCTTCCATGGTCATTTCGCCCATCATCTCTGCTTCCGTAACGATCCTCATCATATTTGTCACCATATCCTCCTGCATTTGACTGAGAACCAGGCCGATCACCAGTTGACGTGTTGCTATACCTATTAGAATACTTGTACGCAGTCAAAAGATGATTTCATACATACTATCTGGATTTGTTTGGTTATTTCAAGCATGCCAAACTCGCAACATGAGATAGCCAATAAAAGTTGAACATGAGAAACCTTATATATTTAGAAGGTGACCCTACCGCACAATGAAAACATTACAAAATGAAACAGCTGTTCCCTTGGCCCAACCTTCCCAAACTAGAGAGAGAGAGGAGGAGATAATAGGACTTCGAATTTCCATATTATCAAGATTTTTGGTTTCTCATGATCTTAAATCCATAGGCTTTACTGTTTTACAGAGACCACACTATTCAATTTTTAACATTCTCCCCTCTACTTCCGAGATAACATAAGTTTCAAATATTAAGTTCTTATGGCAAGTATAACAAATTGCTAATTCCGACCTGGTCACAAGCTCAGATAAAGAGACTTGAGGTAGGTTGACAGCCAGCATAACTTTGTGAAATTTTACAACAGGAATCCTAATATAAATTTTGTTTCGCCAACCCCAAATTTACCAGGAACTAGGCTTAATTTACTGGGTAAAAACTTCAGCAAATTGATTATCTACTCCTACTTAATCATATATGCAAAAGTTCAAAGTAAGGCAACAATTAGTTCTGCCTTCACTATACAACCTCTTACTTGACAGGTAAAAAAAAATTTTAAACTCAAGGGTAACATTAGGGATTATTTAGTAATCCAATCCTTTCTTTTATTCTTTACTTTTAGAACACTGCAAATCAATTAACTGAGCTGAATAATAGAAAAACCTAAAAAGATAGCAAGAATTCCAATTACCAGTCCAAGGCAATGCCAGATATTATCGACATTTATCCCAAAATAACCCACAAGAGGCATCTCACATAAAGGTTTCTTCCCCTTGGAGGAAGATCTACATATAAGTCATGATAACAGGCTTAAAATGCCACCATCTACTAAAATTACAAGCTAAAATTACAGTTGGGCAACAAAATGTACACAAGTGCATATTGAATCTTAATCATCTTTCTGCCCTTCATAAAATTTCAAAATTTTCAAAAAGAACAACAAAGAGAGGCACTAATAGTAATCATCTGGCATGGTAACAATCAAAAGAAAATATGAAGTAAAACCTTTCAGCTTTTAAATTGAAATACATAGACAAAAGAAAGTCACGTTTAACCTCAACTGATTAATATAATGATCAACAAAATGGAAAGTAATAGGATACATAAGGTGCAACTATGCCATGACAAGGATAATCAGGAAACTTGAAGCAGACTTACTTGTCCCTGTTAGCAGCAGCCTTCTCGCGAACTTCTTGTATTTGTTCCTTGTCATTTACAAGGGCTAAAAGACTTTGAGATTTCCTTCTGACATTGCTTCCTTGATCCCTCCCACTGGAATCAACATATTGAAAATCAAACAGTGCCTATCAAAAGAAAAATACATTTTAAATGATAGCACAATAATCCTAAGAAATTTAATGCTCATCCAGAGGTTCGCAGAATAGCTTATTAAAGAAGGTGCATATGAAAAAGAAACTCACCGATATTTGGTAAGTATGTTCCCTGATCTCATCTATGGCACGCTCTGATCCATGAGCTACCAAGTACTCCAAAACAGTCAAACCCTAGAAAAAAAAAATTCATTTGCATATTCAAGAGAACAGTAGATGCCAGGAAAGAAGAACATCTAATACATACAACAGGATGAGGTAAGAAAGAGGTCGCCGTCAAAAAAAATGGGCGTCGCAAAAACTAATCCAAAAATTATATCCCTAGGAAAATAATTCTTTACAGTAATATGTAAAATAAAAAAATATGACTCTCTTCAATTTGCAAAAGGAAGGGTCTGGAAAGGATACTGGGGAAAAATAGGAAAATCCCAACGATGTTATAGTAAAAACTAAACAAGAATTTCAATAACAAAACACATAGCTTCTCAGTAAAACAGAGTAACTAGGAAGAACAAAAAACCTTGTAGACATGACGCCAATTTTTTCCAGTATCATTGATACGCTTCCATATAACCGCCATAAGCATCTGATACTCGTGACTATTGAAATGAAAAATATGAATACTTTATGATGAAAATAATGATCAGAAATTATGAGGAAGATGCATTAAACTTACTAATTTCTTGATGCCTGAGCAATATCAGCAAGATGAGATCCATGAGGTCCCCAGGGTTCATTGCTGGTGGCATCAAGGACCTGAATATAGAAACCGAAATGTTAAATGCTGGGAGAGAGTCATGAATGGAAAAGCTATTTTGCAAATTAAGAAACTGCAGGTGGCAACCTGAACGTTACAACTTCTTGTAAATACCAAATTAACCAAAAGACATTGACGAAATTTGTAATATACAAAAGGAATTTAAAAAATGAAAAAAATTACCTTCCTTTCTATAGGAGGGACTTTCAGAACTTTTTTATTCACCTCTCTCTTACTGCAAGAGGAAGTAACACGCATAAGACAAAGTTTCAGAATTAGATTGATTTTTTTATGACCATAGATTTTTGGGTCATCTTACGCACATCTCGACTTATCTCACGAGACCCTGAAGTTTACAGTCGTATACTCACATCAATGACCCTGAGGAGATTCGAATTGGTGACCATTAAGGAGCAAACTCAAGATTTGACCACTGACTACCCCTCAAAGTTGAAAGAAATAATATTACGCGCAAACTCAAAACTTTTCCTTATTTTTTAACCACACATTTTTCATTAATACACTATTCAAAATTTCATTATTTTGACATAAACGGGGCTCCAACAAGGGCTTAAATTCTCTATTCCACGCCTTTCAATTGTCTTTATTTTATTGTTATTAAAAGACAGGCAAAAATATTGAAAAGCAAATGGATCTCACCAATTTTAAACTTGACCGTCTATTAATTAATAATCAATAACACATCAATCAGAAATCCGTCTATTTAATACAATAGATCGCTATCCACACAATACATTAGAGATGCTCTATTACGAAAAACAGTTATAAATCATCAACAAATCTGAGTAACATACCATCTATACCCATGCCTATGGACAACTGAAACTATCGGCCTCCAAAATAAATTTTAATTCACTGCGAATAAAAGCGAATGAAGAAAAATGAATATCGTTTATATAATTCGGCAAGAAGCTGTTCCATGCCTCAACAATGAATAAACTGACAAAAATCTATATATGTATGAGAATACCAATAGAGAGAACCTCAAAATGGTAATCCTCAAAGGTATGTATGCATATCACATCATCTAAAGAGCAATGAGGCAACCACACAATCCAAATTAACCCCATAGGCAAGCAACTCTCAATAAAACAGATGAATAACTGCAGCCACTTGCTAAACGTGGCAAACAAGGAAATCAAAAGTGACCCCAAAAGTTATAGCCGAAAACTTGTAAATGTAACTCTATAATACAACCGGAAAGCACAGGTCGTTCGACTTCTGGCGATCAAATGTTGTTCAAGCTCAACGGTAGCCACCACCATATGGTTGTTGGGCATAATTACCTGTTCCCATCATGGGATTATAACCTCCGGACATTGTTGATCCAGGAGGAAGTCCTGGCTGCTGTTGCATGTTATATCCTTGACCCATGTTCATGTTCATGTTCATGTTCATGCCCATGCCCAAGTTTCCTGGCCTATTCATCCCCATCCCAATGGGCTGGTTCACTCCTGAATAGCCTCCCATGCCAAACCCTGATCCAGGATCACTGGTCATAGTCATGCCCATGCCGGAACCCACCACTGCATTTGGTAGAGACCTGAGAGCACCTGCACCAGCACGGCCAATACCAGAACCAGATCCCATTGCTTTACCCATGGTAATGTTGGATGTTACCGTAGAAGCATTAGGTTTCTCCATTCTCTTCTCCTTGCGATTTATGGCGTCAAAATCAACTCCAATGTCAGCCAATGGATTTGTTTTAGCTGCAAATGAAAAAGAAGGTATATAATAAGAGGTAAAGGAGATAACAGGATGCAATGAAACAGTTACAAAAGCAATAACTCACGTCCGGAAATATTTAAATTGACCAGTCCGCGGCTTAGAGTATCAGCCCAAACAGTAGATTTTGTCTCAAACTTGTCTTTTGATGGTTGAGGAACTATGGTAGGAGAACCAGTTGAGGCCGGTGAAGCTGATTGTGAAGCAATGGGACTGATTGGCCTCACTTGTGGAGCTTGAAAACCCATTTGTGAAGCCACTGGAGCATTATAACCTGGCTGTGGAAGAAAATTATTTTGGGGAACAGGTCCAGTAGGAACTTGAGGAACCGTTTGAAAAGCTGCTGCGCCAGTAGATCCAGCCGGCAGGTTGTAACCTGCATAAAAGTTGGCATTCGGCTGTGAAGACTGACCTCTGAACGGAGCATGAAAAGCAGCCTGTGAAGAACTCATTTGAGATGGAAAACCTGCAGCTTGACTACTGTGAGTTGGACCCATCTGCGATGTTTGACTAGTTTGAGATGGAAATGTCAAGGCTGGAGACTGATTCGTTTGAGCCAGAAAATCGGTCTGAGAAACAGATTGGCCTTGTTGATGCGGATAGCTTGTCTGTATAGGAGGTTGGCTCAGTTGACCAGGAAAATCTGCCAATGATGCAAGCTCACTATTTTGAGCGTGGAAACCTGTCTGTGTTGCAGTTTGATTCTGCAGGGACAGCTGACCCAACTGTGATTCGGGTTGATTAGTCTGAGGTGGAAACCCTGTCTGAGACACTTGTTGGTTAGTTGGAACAGGATAATCGGCTTGTGGATTGACATGAGGTGAAGCTCCAGAGGGTAGATGACTTGTCTGCAAAGGAGACTGGCCAGGTTGACCAGATAAAGCTGTCAATGACGTAAGCTCGCTATTTTGAGCATGGAAACCTGTCTGTAGTGCAGTTTGGCTCTGTATGGACAGCGGACCTGGATGTGATTCATGTTGATTAGTCTGATGTGGAAACCCTGTCTGTGACACGGGTTGGTTAGCTGGAACAGGGTAATCAATTTGTGAATGGTAATGATGCGAAGCTCCAGAGGGTGGGAGAATATCTGCTAATATATCAATATCTTCGTCGTTATTTGATAGCTCCTGCTGCTGAAACTGTGGGATTTCTGTAGAAGGAAGTTGGGCGCCAGAAGGACCAGATGACGAGTAAGTTGCACCGTGAAAACTACCCCCAAAATCATTTTCTGCATTTTTAATAACTGGCTGAGGCAAATCATAACTTTGATAGGGGTTCTGGGCAAAAGAATGTGTAGAAGTAGGAATCTGTTGTTGCGATGGTACACTTTCCATAGAAGGAATAGCTTTAAAAGGGCCATCCCCAAATGGATCATCAAATGACTGCAGAAAAAGCCACTTTTTTATCTCCACAAATGCATTTATTCTATAACTGAAGACATCTACAGCGTAAGGGCAAGAAGAACAGGAAAAAGGCAGTCGCACGCCATTTTAAAATATATGAAACAATTGCAACGTCAAATATTATACAAGTCAAAATCAAAACCAAAGAACAAATAAAAGGAAATGATTTTAGCTACACAGAAGCATCAATTGTGGTGGGCAGAGACATTTAGTTCTTTGGTTGTATTGATGCAAACTTTTCCACCCGTCTATTTCTAGAATATACTTTGCAGTTGCAACTTTTCTTGACAGGCAGTTGCTTATTCTAAGACGATTGCTTATACAACACGGACAAACAAAAAGAAATATTAATCAGATTAAATTTTTGACATTAACACGCCTGAACAGATGAAAATCAATATTTTCCTTGCGTGCTACTAAATTTATCAGATTTCGTCAAACTTTAATTCTCAGTGCAACACATTATTTTGAAAATTTCAGACATTTTTCTTCATTTGACTCCAATAAATCAAAAAACAGTCGGAGAAATGGGTTGATGGTAGATAAGAGATCATTCTTTCTATAAGAGGGTTGAATTTACAATAATGACCTTCACCTTCTTTAGGAGGGTTAGGGACTCAATCTCTCTAGAAAAAAGAAAAGATCATCATCTACTGATATGAACAAGAGCAGGAAAGCGTACACAAATTTAAATATTATTTCAAAAATTATTCATATAGTCTGTCTCCTTGGGCATCACTACAATCCTAACAAGAATAAGCACTAGCACAAATGAACTCTGTTTTTACCTTTCTTTTTCCCCAAATTTCCCAAGTCATAATTAAAACATTTCATGAAGCAAGAGGTGCTTAATAAGGTGTTCAACCAGACCTAGGCCCAAAAGGGTCCAGGCTAACTTGACTTGGACCTGAGTTAAAAAATCCATCCAAAGAATGAAATCAGGAAATTCACTGATAACTCTCAAATTGATTAAATCAATTAGAAGCCAAGTGATACAACCCAAGAAACTCTTTAAAGGCTAGAAACAAAGGAACAATAAAAGATAAAATTTAAAATCAGATCTATGTATGAAGTAACTAGAAATTATCAGACAAAGATTACCTGATTAAAGACTGTGAATGGTGATGATGTGGGCATAAATGTGGGAATAGAGCTGGAGTTCGGTGGGGCACTAGCCTCCTTGGCCGCCGTTCCCGGTGCAGCAGACACAAGAGCTAATGAGTTTGAAGAAGATGGCTCAGAAAAAGAGCCTAGTAAATCCATTTCCGCACCACCAGAAGTAGTTGGAATGGTACCATTTGATATGGCTGGTATAGCTATTCAAAGAGGCAAAAGAATGAGTCCACTGAGACAATCACTTATACCAATAGGTAAATGTCATAAATGAAGAAAATCATGTTCATGCAACACTGGGTCATACACATGTCGAGTGTTCCATAATTCTTTCACCATGTCTCCTATTCATTTAACCCCTTGCATACCCCAGATAATATTGCTCATAAATAACTAGACCAGGGTCGTGGAATTTCAGCACAAAACCAAAAATGCTGACTCGAGTCTAGTTAACATATTAATGATCATGTACATCCACGTGCAAATTCTTGTCAGATCCAAAACAACAAAAAACGTCCCTATTCTCATTAGCTTAGATTACATAGTCATACAACTTTCCCATTATGTCACATAAACTTCCTTGAAAAGTACAGTCCTTGAAAAGTACAGTTTGGTATAATTTGCTTCAGTTAATAGAGTATCAAATGCCTATAAACCTCGTAGCAGCTTCCAGAGAAAATGCAATTCTTAAACTGGTAACCTATTCAGTTCCTATTTCACATATGCTATGAAGCACAAGAGGAACACTCATCTCCAGTACGAAGATTGATGATACAAAGTAGCTGAGAAAGAGCAAAATAAGGTGTATACATATAGAAACAGTCCACTGAAGCGATCAAAAAAACCCCAGTAAAGCAATAAAAAGTACAAGTGCAGTTTAATTGCTACAAGTTCGAAAAGAATCTCTGTAAATGATAAAACCAATTTAATGTAATTTGTAATGAGAAAGCAAGATCAAACCGCAAACGACAAACGTTCAAGACATGCCAACCAATATCGTACCAGTTACTTTTCTACTTTTCTAGTTAACCAGCATGAATGCGTTGCAGGGTATGCAGATTGTGATAAATGCCAAACTACATGAAATGCCTTTGGCCACAATTTCAATACCTGGAGTCTCTGTCAGCAGCACGATAGTCTAGAAGCAAAAAAAAAAAATATGCTAGGAAAAAGGGTTGCTTCCGTTGTTCATGGAACAAGCCAAGACATTTTGGCTTTCTTTACATAACAATCATCATATGAAAATAGAAACACCTTGGGTATATGAAAGGATTTCAAAAAGAAATAGTAAAGACTTTTGGAAACTCTTGGTTAAGCTAAAATTATATAGTTCAATTTGTCCGCAGTAAGATCATATAAGTACATATATAAAATTGCACACAAACCACAACCTTGTTGGATATTTCACCTTTTATATAACCTGTCACAAGAAACCTTGATTTTATTTTAAATAACAAGACTCCATCCTCTTTGATAAAGTGAACTTGTTATCAAAAAGAGAAGTCACTAACAAAAGAGACTTAAGGAGAGTAGTGTGGCAGTGAAATATCCAAGTGCAGATATTCCGTTACCTGAAAATGAACCACGAGGATCAAATTCATCAAAGCCATCTACTTCCCCATTATTATCAGGAGCTGGTGGTAAAGCAGGAGCCGAGTGTGAAGCATCTGTTGTCTCATGGCTTGGATTAACACTTGCAGGAGGAGAGGATGCTTTGGGAACAGCTGAGAGATCTCCATCCCTTTTGAAAATACGAAGTTACGACCACTTCAGAATAGTTGAAGCAGAAACTAGGTGGTTGATAAAAGTTTGTTACCTTTCACTAAGAGTGGGACTGCGTGCAGTACCAGCAATCTCTTCATAACTAGGAGGAGCCCCAAGGCTTTGATCAGAATATTTACGGTCCAAGTGCCTGCTGGCCATACTACAACAACAGCAAAAACAATTAAGCTTGTTTGCAATAAACTAAACCTGCCAGCAATAATTGGCAAAAAAGCCACATATAAAAAAAATATTCCACTAAATTATGAATAGCATGAAAAAGGTTTTCCTATCATTACCTTCCCTCTTGAGAATCGCCTTTGGCATTACTACCTCTACAATTGGCAAAGTTAAAATTTTAATTGATGTAGGTAATAGAAAATTAAACTAACTGAAAACATATCACGTGTACCAACATTAAGGAAAATAAATAAAGCAACTCCCTGACTAGAAAACACTAGAGAGACTACAATGACAATCCTAGAGTGAAGTCAAGCCAAAATGGCACAATTGTTCTTTTTTCATATTTTTATCGCTTCGTATAAATCCCATTTAACGTTTATCACGTCATTATATAGCCTTTCGCCTTTACCATTGAAAACAACAGAAAAATTATATATCTTTGTAAGAAAATAATAAAATATTTCACTACAAAGTTGGATTTTACTTGAACGCGAGAAAACTTACAAACCTGGAAGAACTTTGTCTATCATCTTCATAAGTATGGTTCCCATTCCTATCAGTGCTTCTGGATTGTAAAACATTCTGATAATCACTGTTTTGACTTCTTCCACGGTGGTCATCATCCCTGTAGCCATCTTGACCATACCGCTCCTCGTTATCTCTACTATACCTGTCTCCATCAAGGCCATATGAATCACCATACCTACCATATCTGTCATCATTCCTGCTGCCCCATTCTCTTTCTCTCCCATAGTCATTTCGCCCATCATCTCTGCTTCCATAACGATCCTCATCATATTTGTCACCATATCCTCCTGCATTTGACTGAGAACCAGGCCGATCACCAGTTGACGTGTTGCTATACCTATTAGAATACTTGTACGCAGTCAAAAGATGATTTCATACATACTATCTGGATTTGTTTGGTTATTTCAAGCATGCCAAACTCGCAACATGAGATAGCCAATAAAAGTTGAACATGAGAAACCTTATATATTTAGAAAGTGACCCTACCGCACAATGAAAACATTACAAAATGAAACAGCTGTTCCCTTGGCCAAACCTTCCCAAACAAAACTAGAGAGAGAGAGAAGGAGATAATAGGACTTCGAATTTCCATATTATCAAGATTTTTGGTTTCTCATGATCTTAAATCCATAGGCTTTACTGTTTTACAGAGACCACACTATTCAATTTTTAACATTCTCCCCTCTACTTCCGAGATAACATAAGTTTCAAATATTAATTTCTTATGGCAAGTATAACAAATTGCTAATTCCGACCTGGTCACAAGCTCAGATAAAGAGACTTGAGGTAGGTTGACAGCCAGCGTAACTTTGTGAAATTTTACAACAGGAATCCTAATATAAATTTTGTTTCGCCAACCCCAAATTTACCAGGAACTAGGCTTAATTTACTGGGTAAAAACTTCAGCAAATTGATTATCTACTCCTACTTAATCATCTATGCAAAAGTTCAAAGTAAGGCAACAATTAGTTCTGCCTTCACTATACAACCTCTTACTTGACAGGTAAAAAAAATTTAAAACTCAAGGGTAACATTAGGGATTATTTAGTAATCCAATCCTTTCTTTTATTCTTTACTTTTAGAACACTGCAAATCAATTAACTGAGCTGAATAATAGCAAAACCTAAAAAGATAGCAAGAATTCCAATTACCAGTCCAAGGCAATGCCAGATATTATCGACATTTATCCCAAAATAACCCACAAGAGGCATCTCACATAAAGGTTTCTTCCCCTTGGAGGAAGATCTACATATAAGTCATGATAACAGGCTTAATATGCCACCATCTACTAAAATTACAAGCTAAAATTACAGTTGGGCAACAAAATGTACACAAGTGCATATTGAATCTTAATCATCTTTCTGCCCTTCATAAAATTTCAAAATTTTCAAAAAGAACAACAAAGAGAGGCACTAATAGTAATCATCTGGCATGGTAACAATCAAAAGAAAATATGAAGTAAAACCTGTCAGCTTTTAAATTGAAATACATAGACAAAAGAAAGTCACGTTTAACCTCAACTGATTAATATAATGATCAACAAAATGGAAAGTAATAGGATACATAAGGTGCAACTATGCCATGACAAGGATAATCAGGAAACTTGAAGCAGACTTACTTGTCCCTGTTAGCAGCAGCCTTCTCGCGAACTTCTTGTATTTGTTCCTTGTCATTTACAAGGGCTAAAAGACTTTGAGATTTCCTTCTGACATTGCTTCCTTGATCCCTCCCACTGGAATCAACATATTGAAAATCAAACAGTGCCTATCAAAAGAAAAATACATTTTAAATGATAGGACAATAATCCTAAGAAATTTAATGCTCATCCAGAGGTTCGCAGAATAGCTTATTAAAGAAGGTGCATATGAAAAAGAAACTCACCGATATTTGGTAAGTATGTTCCCTGATCTCATCTATGGCACGCTCTGATCCATGAGCTACCAAGTACTCCAAAACAGTCAAACCCTAGAAAAAAAAAATTCATTTGCATATTCAAGAGAACAGTAGATGCCAGGAAAGAAGAACATCTAATACATACAACAGGATGAGGTAAGAAAGAGGTCGCCGTCAAAAAAAATGGGCGTCGCAAAAACTAATCCAAAAATTATATCCCTAGGAAAATAATTCTTTACAGTAATATGTAAAATAAAAAAATATGACTCTCTTCAATTTGCAAAAGGAAGGGTCTGGAAAGGATACTGGGGAAAAATAGGAAAATCCCAACGATGTTATAGTAAAAACTAAACAAGAATTTCAATAACAAAACACATAGCTTCTCAGTAAAACAGAGTAACTAGGAAGAACAAAAAACCTTGTAGACATGACGCCAATTTTTTCCAGTATCATTGATACGCTTCCATATAACCGCCATAAGCATCTGATACTCGTGACTATTGAAATGAAAAATATGAATACTTTATGATGAAAATAATGATCAGAAATTATGAGGAAGATGCATTAAACTTACTAATTTCTTGATGCCTGAGCAATATCAGCAAGATGAGATCCATGAGGTCCCCAGGGTTCATTGCTGGTGGCATCAAGGACCTGAATATAGAAACCGAAATGTTAAATGCTGGGAGAGAGTCATGAATGGAAAAGCTATTTTGCAAATTAAGAAACTGCAGGTGGCAACCTGAACGTTACAACTTCTTGTAAATACCAAATTAACCAAAAGACATTGACGAAATTTGTAATATACAAAAGGAATTTAAAAAATGAAAAAAATTACCTTCCTTTCTATAGGAGGGACTTTCAGAACTTTTTTATTCACCTCTCTCTTACTGCAAGAGGAAGTAACACGCATAAGACAAAGTTTCAGAATTAGATTGTCTAGTCTCTACAGAAACAAAATCAGACTCTAAAGTACATTTGCAATGAAAGACAAGATTTCAGAATTAGTAAATATATGCAGAGTTATTTTAAAATTATCTTGAGCAAAAAAATGACCGATCGCAAATAATTTAGTTTTTGTAATCAATACTTTGATCTGCTTCCTATAGATCAAACAAATCAGTTCAATGACAAAAGGCGATATAACATGTATGATGCAAAGCATGAATCTTTGGATAAAGATGTTTGGTAACAGAGTTAAACTTACATGTCGCGGACAGTTTGACCAAAAACCTTCTTCATTTCAACTATAACTTAGGAGGACAGATCAGAAATCCTCTCCAAATGATTGTACACTGCCAAAAAGGTAAACGATCAGCATTATACATGACATACAGTAAATTTTCTTTCTTTTGGAAGTAAAAAACTAAATCACAGAGAGAGCTATCGAAAGGATGAAAACAAATTTCAACGATAAGAGGTGTCACCCTCTCGAAATTTCATTTTCTTTATTTAGTTTGAGTTAATTCAAGAAATTTAAGCAAGAAAAGATTGACTTAATCAAATCCAAATAATATTCATAACAAAAAAGGAGAACAAGAAATTACATTGCATACAGGAACAAGAAAAATCCAACAAATCATAAATGAACTTTAAAATGTGAATCTTTTCGCAATCTGCTTTGCAAATTGATCCAATAAAAACATATATTATTTGAACAGATAGCAGAATAACACAGACAGCTAAGAAATTAAATCTGGGATACAATCAAGAAAAACGAAAATTCAGGGGAAACAAAAAAACTCAAGTCGAATTAATAAAAAAGATCAAATTCAAGCCGATGGAAATTGACCCTCCAGTACCACAAAAATTATAGATCTGAGAGAGAAAAATGTAGAGAAAATTCGTTGATGGTTGTCTAGAGAGAGGAAACCGCGTAAAAAGTGAATGGAAAAAGAAAAAATAAATACTCGCAGGGTCAGCTATTGCTGTTAATAATGTAATTTAAATAAATAAAAAGAGGCAACTAAATGTAATAAATTTAAATTACTGTTGACGAAGCAGACAACGCACCTTAGGCGCAGTGATTTATGCGACAATAGCATCTTGTTTTGTTTTGTTTTGTTTGATTTTTTTTTTTTTTTCCAACTTATCGTAATAACTTTGGCTTTTATTGTAAGATTTTTTTTTTTTTTTATAAGTAGTTTTCTATAGGAAGAATAAAAAATAACTTTTTAATATTTTTTATTCTACACGAACGAATACTTTATTTGATCATTGAATTATGTAGGTGACTTTTGATTAATTTTCATTTTCTTTTAAATATTAGCATCAAACTTTAGCTTACGTGTGTAACGTTAGTCGATACAGTCAAGTCAATATGCAAAAAAACTATCAATCTAGTACAGATGTGGATGGGAACACGACAGGGTGATCCTCCTCTTCCATTGTCCCATTGTAGATTTTCGAGGTGTGGATCGGAATTAAAATATTCTTATTTCTTGTATTATTTATTTATTGTTCAATATTATTTTTTAAAATACAATTTAAATTTTAAACACATCAAATGAAAAAGAAAAAAAAAACAATAGTTGGGTGAGGACTTGATCCCACCCTAATTTGTAAACTAATCGAGTAATCTTCACCTCATTCGTAGCAGGACAACACGAATTTAGTTAATAGATGTATTTTCCTCTTTTATTTTAACGATCATACTATATCTACCAAATCATTTACTAAATGGATGATCGAATTGACAAGTGTCGAGCACTTATTGGAATAGATTGGAGGGGCGCCACTTGTCAATTCGGTCAAAAATTAGATAAGAGATTAGGTACAAGTGGATTAATTCTTATTTTAATTTCCCCACCCACACTAATACAAAACCCAAATCGGCCTAAAATAAAACGCTCCTACTGCTTCCCCTGCGATCTTGAATTGCGAAGTCACCGTGTCATGAGTGATGCTACGGGACTCCGGATAATCTTTTCCAACGCCGCCACGGGCCTGCCTCTCCGGTGTGAATGTGACTACATTAGCCCAGCCAACTGGACTCGGACACCAACTTCATCCTTGACTAATCCCGACTGCACCGCCTGGAGCAATGATCCGAACATCTTGTGCTATCACTTCCAATCGTGCAAGGCGGGGCTGCTGGACAACATTAAGAGCGATTGGAAGAGGGTGGTTGTTATCAACATTATTTTCCTCATCTTCCTCATTATCGTTGACTCTGTTGGATGCGGGGCATTCAGAAAGAACTGAGAAGATAACTCATGGAAACGGTACCCTTGAATGTTTATTGACTCTGGTTTTTAGCAGAGACATGCCAGTATCGAAAAAGAGGCTCTTGACCTCTTCTACTGATTTATTGCATTCTGGATGTTACATTGCCGGTTACTATTGTTTTTGGTGTACACTTTATTGCATATGCTTTGCATAAACAGTTTTATATTGATATTAGTCGCTATCACGTGCGTTACACAAATTTTATATTTATCGTATTTTTATTAGTGTATGAATTTTAGTTTTTTTGAAAAGTTTTTAAAGCAATATCTAAAAATATTTTCATGACAAAAGAAAATAATTGTAAATTATTTTTACAATTGTATAGTATTATGTTATCTAAAAAAATATGCTTGTATATTTCATATTTGAATAAGAAATATACAAATTTTTTTGCCTATATTCTTTAATAGTGTTGATATGATTGAATTGAATGTGAAGATTATATTTCTAAATTTTATGTAATTCAATATTGTAAAATTTTAAAAAAACTCTCCGCGCAATTCGAAGTAAAAATAAAAAAAGGTGTGGAGAGAAAAAAAAATTCTCTCTGCACACTCGCACAGTGCTGAGAAAGTTGAACCATGTGCGGAGAGTTGGCAAACTCTTCGCACAGTATGGAGTAAAAAAAAAAAAACTTCTTCACACAGCGCGAAGAGATGACAAACCAACTCTCTGCATAGTACGAAAAACAAAAAAAACTCTCTGCACTATGCGGAGAGTTGGATCATGTGCAGAGTAAAAAAAAAGTACGGAGAGAAAAAAATCTCTTCGCACAGTGCGAAGAGAGTTGGACCATGTATGGAAAGTTGACAAACTCTTCGTACAGTGCGGAGTAAAAAAAAATTTTTCACAGTGCGAAGAGATGACAAATTTGTTCATGTGCGAAGATTTTTTTTGTCTCATGGAGTTTACATATACTAAAATTATTATTATTTTTTTAATGTTGTTGGCATGATGCGTATGTGAAAGAATATTTGTCAATCACCATAAACAAATTTTTTTATAAAACGTAAAAACTAAAAATGCATAATAAATATTTTTATTACGCTAATAAAATTACAATAATTTTTTTTTTAAAAATAACATAAAAAATTATTTTTATCTTCAACAAAAAAATACATTTAAAAATTAGTCATTTCATAACCACTTTTTTTTCGGAAATACAATTATAAAAAAGAAAACAATATTGAATTATAACATTTAATACTTAAGAAATTTAATATTAAATAAATTTTATACATTTATACAAATTATAAATCCATATATGTAGCTTACTGTATTTGCAGACAACTTACTGTATATACAGCTTACCGTATATACTGCCTACCGTATTTGCAGCCTGTCGTATTTGCAAACAACTTACTGTATTTGCACCTTACCGTGTATGCAGCCTATCGTATTTGCAAACAACTTACCGTATTTTCACCATACCGTATTTGCAACTTACTGTATATGTTGTCTATTGTATTTGCAGCTTATTGTATTTTTATATACCGATTTTTGCACTTACAAATACCGAGAATGCAGAACCTTGTACATTCACTTACCAAACCGAATTTCAAAAAAATTTCCAAATTTTTATTTTTTCAACACAAGCATAAAATAAATATTAAATATATATGAAGCACAAAATATAAATACATATGAATATGGTGCTCAATCTTCAATTTTACAATATTGAATTACACAAGATTTAGAAATATAATATTCACATTCAACTCAATAATATCAACACTATCAAATATTACAAGCAAAATAATTTGTATAATTTTGTATATTTCTTATTCAAGTATGAAATATACAAGTATATTTTTTCTAGATGACACAATACTGTTATACAATTGTAAAAATAATTTACAATTATTTTCTTATATCATGGAAATATTTCTAGATATTGTTTCAAGAACTTTCCAAAAACTAAAATTCATACACTAATAAAAATACGATAAATGCAAAATTCGTGCAACGCACGTGACAGTCACTATGTGGAAAGATTTTTTTTTTTAACTTTTCACTGTATGAAGAGTTTGCCAACTCTCCGCACTGTGCGAAATTTTTTTTTTTTTGGCTTTTTTTACTCCGCAATGTACGGAGAGTCCGCGCAGAATGTCATCTCTCTGCACTGTGAGGAGAGATTTTTTTTTTACTTCGCATTGTACAAAGAGTTAGAACTCTCTGCATATGGTTTGCCATCTCTCTGCACTATGTAGAGAGATCTTCTTCATTTGTTACTTCGCACATGGTTTGTCATCCTCCGCACTATTCGGAGAGTTTATTATTATTATTTTTTTAAAGCTCATGAGTCATGTGCGAAGAGTTTTTTTGTTGTTGCTCATGACAGTTTATATTTACTATAATTATTATTATTTTTTTAATGCTAGTAGCATGATGTGTGGAAGAACATTTGTTTGACATAATTATTTTTTTAATGCTAGTGCGATGATGTGTGGAAGAACATTTGTTTGACATAAACAAAATGAAAATAAAAAATGACATCATGCATAGTAAAATTGTATTCATTTACTATTGCATAAATAGTAAACTCTCATTCCCCTTTTTATTAGAAGTTAGATATTTGGGATTTGTTGTTATAAATTGGCTCATTTTTCATTTCAATTTACCTGTCTTCTCGTTCCGGCATCTTTACACTTTTGTTTTAATGTATATGTATTTTCATAGTGCTGTTGATGTCTTACTAGTTTGTTTGTTTGATAGAGTGGACCGGATTGACCGATCACTAGATGATCTTAAAAAAAGAAAACGAAAAAACTAAAAATTGTCCCAAGTATTGTTAAATGTATTCAGTTCGGTGCACCAAAAATTTTCTACCCACCAGTAATTTCACCAATGCTGTCAATTTTTTCTTGTTCTTTTAAGTCATGAAGGGGATTTATCAGAAAAAATTCTCCGGTCCGCCCTATTGGAACTCGAATCTTGGATTCGCTCCCGGGGTGCCATCAAGTTTTGTGTCATCAACACAATTTTGGTAAGCTGGAGATAGTGGTGCTGCAAAGGCTAGTGAAATTGCACAAAAATTCCTTCCTAAGCCAATGAGGATGAAATACAATGAAAATTGTACAGTGGAGAAGAAAGGAGCCATTGCCTGGTGTAGCAGTATTCAGTATCGCCAGGGTATATGGCCTATTTATATAGAAGCTTCCGTGATTTATAGGTCACATTTCACATCAAGACCAGAAATAGAAAAATTAGTTAGAAGGTGTAAATATGAAATATTGATTGATTAAATTGCAATGAGACAAATTAAGACGTTCAATTGAAGACCAAAAAAGGAGTGAAAATGGGAGTATTCTTCAAAATATGGTAACCTAACAAAGTCTGAATTTTCCATTGTTTGATGGTAACCTCACTTTGAGTTTTTAGACCGCATTCCAATTGTAGATTTCTTGTTAATCGGCAAAAGAGAAATGTAGACATGGAATCTTTAATACCTTGAATCATACGAAAGAGAAATGTAGAGTAGCAATCTTTAAGTTTAATACCTTGAACCATACGATTATA